GATTAGGCTGTCTTCAAAGCTGTTTTGTATTTCTTTTACCAAACTTGAGGCTAATGCAAGAGAAGTTTAAAGATTTTGCAATTAATTTCAAAGATGTGAACTAAAATGCGAAAACTGAAATATTAAAAGTAACTTAACGACGTTGGTATTTTAACTTGTCTCCTTACTAAATGGAATCTTTTTGTCATATTCTCTAATTTAGACTGCCCCCTCCTATTTTAATACAACCAAAATTTAATACTAGAAGATGCATTTTTGTATACTGCTCAAAATAAAAAGAGATTTTTTAAAGCTCGACTAAAGATACGACTTTTTTTAAAGTTATATTTCTCAGAAACTATTCTTCCGATTTTGTTGAAGTTTTATAATTTGCTAGAAAAAAAATACATTCTTTAAAATGATATAAAAATTTGTATACCTCACAATTCAATATTTAAGACGATAGATCAAGGAGGGCGAACCAATGGCACGCGCGACACAATATTTTGGGCACACTACCGATCACATTAAATATTAAATTAAAATTCACAAAAAACAAACAATGATTGACAGAAGAATTAACAATTAATGCCAAAAAAAGCAATTAATAACCATAAAAAACAAGCTAACAATAAATGACTATCAAAAAAAATTAACAGTCCTTCCTAAGCTAACATCTTACAATCTAATATAAGTTATTTGTCATCTAATCTGCAATACCAGAGCAGTAACACTGATGTTACTTTAAGTTGAATTACGCGTAAAACTGAGACAGTGCAAAATGTATTTTTTTTCTCAGTAAATAAGGAGTTTTGAGTTGACACTATTTTGTATTATTATTTTCCCAATAATCACGAAGTCAAAATTATTTGACGGCACTTCTATGACCTCATTAAACAATTTTTTAGGAAAAATTGCGCGTTGGTGCATAGTGGTTCGCCACCCCTGCGATAGATATTCGTAACTATTCTAACAATTCTAAATTTTTTCGACTATTTATTAAAATAAAATATAATAAATAATTATTAGAACTTTTTTTTGCACGGAAGTATCTTTGAATAAACGAAATATACATTATTATACGCTAAAACTTTTCTATTCGCTACAAAACTTATCGATATAAGGAGAAAATTCACAAAAAAGTAAAATTAATTTCATGGGTTCAAAATTGAGACCGCTCTCCTGACCTAACTATTCGTATCATATTTTGCAGATTGCGTCTGTCTTCTACACTTTGGGGGTCAGGAATCATAATCCATTCCGTCGAAAAAAAGACATGTTTAATCAAAGAAAGTACGTTTTTGTGTCTGATTTCATTATTAAAATATTTTCTGCACTAACTAATGAGCTAAGTTGAGGCCACCCCCTCGAACCATCAAAATTGAGTTCAAGTACATAACAAGCCGAATATTAGATTAAAAGTTATTCGGGGAGATAAGATTATTTTGTGCATTGTACTTTATTATTTAGCTTAATTGTCAGTGTCATTAATTAACCCTTTGATGCAGATGGGACGCCGGTATCCCTTTTATATATAGTTTCTCTGACTCTCCAATTACAAGCAAAAATGTATTATGGTATTTTTAATTTTAAAAAAAATAATCTAATAGTTAATGAAAAAATCTGTCGGATTCTTAAATGTATGTACTTAAAAATAAAATCCTAAAAAAAGTAGTTAGAATTTTTTTTAAATTTTTACTCGAAATCTTATTAATAATTGATTTTGCAAATTGAATAAATTTCAATGTTGGATAACTATTTCTCTTAGATCTAAATAACAGCAAATAAGGGCGAATTTGAAAAATTATTATTTTAAAGCTTTTGACACAGAAGAAAACACCGATGTTTCATGCTGTATTGTCAGCATAAAACATATTATATTTAGCATTTTAGCAACCTTAAGTAATTAAAATGCTAAATCTAATATTTTTCACCTAATTTGACCTAAATTAAAGCAAAATTATGAAGAAAATATGAGATATGTGTTTAATAAAATGTCTGCATCAAAGGGTTAAGGAAGCATAAGAATAATGAAAATTTTAATTGAGAAATTCTTCACACATTTTCTTAAATTAAATGCATTTAAGTTTATGTAATAATGAAGTATGTCAGGATAATTAGAAACTATTGGAGACATTTATAATTAGACAGGCGCATCGCATAATTCAGGTGACAAGAAGTCGGAATTTTCAAATAGTTGACATCTGTACAATTAAAAATTATTTTTACTCAATACAAATACTTTGAACTCATTGGAAAAGCCACGAAAAAAAGTGTTCTACTTTAAATAAATTTATTTAACAATAAAATAAATGTTTCACATTTAAAAATACACGCATGAAAAAATAATATCGATTAGACATATAAAATGGATTTGCCCCAATTAACATTTACGAATGCATATATTTTAATTATCTGTAAAAAAAAGTATTCCACTGTAATTCAAGTTTGTTCAGTATAAAAATAAATAATTTTTAATTAAAAACATGACACCCACATTAAAAATATCTCTCATATCACAATTAAACATGCGACTTTGCTCTAAAAAGCAATTAGATTTATTAAGTTGTAATTATTTTTAAGGGGTCTTAACTTTTTGTAAAACATTCGCATCACTAAAAATAACTTGAACTCATAAAGAGGGTTTTTTATGCAAAAAAAAAAATTTATTTTACTATAAACAAATTTAATAACATTAAAATAAATATTTTACATTTTGAAACTAAAATATAAGTTTGAAATACATTATCAATGCAGCACTCTGCATTACAAAACTGATTTGCACTTAAATATATTTTTAAACTCATTAATGGCGTAAGTAGGTATTTATATTTCATTTAGTATAATATTGACATCACTAAAATAATAATTGAGCCCAAAATAAATATTTTTTCACGAAAAAGAAGAATTATTAGTTAAACAATTTATAAAAAAAATACTTTGCATTTAACATTAGATACAAGCATGAAAAATATCACTTTGCACCTTAAAAGTTAAAACAAACTTGCACTACATTTATAAGTGGTAATTATTTGTACATAGCTTATGATTCGTAACAATAATTATTTGACTCAAAGCAAATAGTTTGATTTCACAACAAATATTATAATTTAAACTTACAACAAATTATTTGAATTTATATCAAACAATTCGATCTCATAACAATTAATTTGAACTCATAGCAAACCTTTGCAAGTGAAAAAGTATTACTGTAAATAAAATTAATCTAATTTGAAAATAAATATTTTGCCATTAAAATATGACACACACATGAAAAATACCGCTTTTAACAGTTTAGCGGCGTGAAACGGATATTTTGCATTAAAAAATTAATGCTTTCCTTCCTGAGAAAATTGAATTGATTATATATAATTCTCTAACGTGGCTCCCAAATTTTGGCTGTATTTTTTTCCGCCGGTGGCAACGTTTGCTTAGTTTTGTTTACGTTACTATTTCTCTTACACGGCGAATCGACCAATGATTGTCGCTAAAAATGTCACATGCCAAATCTAGCTGAGGTGGCTCAACATATAGCGCTTTTAAAAACGGAAACTGAAACAACCAGAGAGCATCAGCTGCGGCAACTTCGAACTATTAAGCTAGGCAGAAGTGAGTAGTCTTTGTATATGGATCTCTATTTTAGTATTTGGTCGAAAGCGCTTTTTCTCACGAATTTAGGCTCCCAAATTTTGGCTGTATTTCTTTTCCGCCAATCGCAACGTTTGCATTGTTTTGTTTACGTTACTGATTGCCGCTAAAAATGTCGCATGCCAAATCTAGCTGAGATGGCTCAACATATAGCGCTTTTAAACGGAAACTGAAATAACCAGAGAGCATCAGCTGCGGCAATCTCATACTATTAAGCTAGGCAGAAGTGAGTAGTCTTTGTCGATAGATCTCTATTTTAGTATTTTGTCGAAAGCGCTTTTTTTCACGAATTTATATATTACGAATTTATTTGACGATTTTTGATTTATATCACGAATTTATTTGTTTTACTAGAATTTATTTGTTTATGCAGGTTTTTCCATTGCAATTCACTTATTTCAATTTTTAATAGACTTAATTATAGCCAAAATTTTAACCTTTTTAAAGAGATATCAGTTTTAGAAATTTTATCTTAAGATTTTATACTATAGCACATTTCTAATAGGTTTAACGAATTACATGTCATTTATTTGAATTCAAATTTATTTTAATGACTTAGTATTTACTAAAAAGATGTAATTTTTTTTTTAAAAAAAAGTTGTTATATGGATTTGAATGATTGTTTTGAATTCTTAAAATTTTGTGCATTTGCAATGTACCTAAGTTAGTAGCGAGCGAAGCGAGCTTGGTTTGCGAAGCAAACCATATAAGATTGCGTAGCAATTTTCGGGGGTTGGCGAGCGTTAGCGAGCAGGGGGCACAGCCCACTAGTTTATGGTAATTTTATTTATTAACAGCAATTAAACAGAGGATAAAACCAGATACTTTTTTTTCACATATTATAGAGGAAGAGTTATTTACGAAGCATAATGCTATTAAGTTAACTGCGCAACTTTAAAATACTCAGGCTAAACTACTTAGCGAAATACTCAAAAATCGAAGTAATGAATAAGTGCCTCTTTTTTCTACTTTGAGTTTTCTTTTCAATTTTTACCGTTTTATATAGAGAAGAAAATTTTCCTTTAACTTAAATTGTAGAAGTCATTTAAAGCTTTAAACAATAATGAATGGTGTTTGTATAATTTCTTCCATTTAATCAGATATTTAAGCGCCCTTTTTCCTATTGTCCTACATCTATGTTATTCCTTAAATATCTATGGTAAAAAAAAAATCACCAAGATAATCACGCACTAATTATTCTCGGTATTTAGCGCAATGCCATTCGCAAACAAATAAGCTCCAGAGCTAATTAATATCAAATTCACTAGCGTTATCGAACGTGCCAAACTGGCGATAAAAGCAACAATCTGTTATTCCAAAATGGAGCCAAGTCCCACCCGTCATCACTGTTTCTTCCAAATTCATTGGCCGCGGATCATATTCCTTTCTTTATTTTTATTTTTACTCTCGCTCTCTCGTTCTTGAATCATCTGGGGGCCTTGTTTTTACTCTTCTTTTTCTATAAACCTTCGCACTCCATTTCTCTTTCAACCCTACACCCCCTGCTCCCACTCACCCCGAAACCGAACTATTTTATACACCCGACACAGCTAAACAAATTTTAAATGCAACTCAGGCCTCTCGAAAGCCAGCAATACATTCAATAAGTTCTCTTACCTATATATTACCTTAATTCGAACATAATTTGTTTATGATTATTCGATGAAAACATTAATCAATCTTAATTTATGAAATGCGTTGTTAATTTATTTAATTTTTGTGTAAGTCGCTAATCTATTTTTAATTAGTTTTTTTTTTTTAAGAGAACCTTATCATTATGTTTTGGGTGGCTTTTGCAACCTTGCTGGCTTTCGGGTCCTGCCATATGAACCAGCCCTCAAAAGGTCCCGGGGCGGGATCGTGTCTGCGAGCGGGGCTTTGTTGCCCGGGCAGGGACAGCACGTGTGTGGTTCAGGAAGCGCCCCTTAATGCCATTATCGAAGATTTGAGTGACAAGCCCTGTTATTGTGATCACGCCTGTCTAAAAGTGGGTGATTGTTGTCATGATTTTAAGGAAGCTTGTGAAGGTATGTCGTCTTATGTTTTTTTTTTTTCTTCTTATTTTTTTGTAGTGGTGTTAATTGTTGCAAATATAATACATCTCATATTAATTAATTATACTTGCACCATTTAATTTTTACATGTTTCAAGCAAATAAAAATCTAGAAAAAAATTTTCGAATTGCTTTACTTTATTCATGATATTTTTTAAGACTTAGCATAGATTTATGTTAAAAGAATTTTTTGAATAAACTTTGTACAAGAAGGAATAGTGAATTATTTTACTTTTTCTTTTCAAAATTTTAATTTCAAAAGCAAAAATGTATAAAAAAAAATTTCTTTTTTTTTTTAAATTTTATGTATTTTATACTTAAGTGAGAGCGTTGTCGTATAGACTTGGAAAAAGCGAACTATATGCGCATTTACTAGCATTCGCTGCATTTCTTAACATCGATTTTTAAAAAGAAAACCTTCAAAAAAACTTTTTTTTCTTCAATTTTGCATGTTCTGACAGTTTTTATTTGTGAAATAATTGTTTTAAAAGTTTAAATTCATATTACGAAAGGGCCTATTGACTTGGTGCTCACGCGTATGGATAAAATAAACCTACGCAAACTAGTGTTTTCTCTATACAACCATTTTATACTAAACTCCTATAACTTAGACACAATAACTTTATTTTCCACCCGATTCATTTTTAAATTTAGGGGCATGCATAAAAATTATGTTAACTTCCTTGAAAAAAGGATTTTGTTCTTATTATGCTTACAATTTTTGATTAAGGAACAGTTAAGCCATAACTTTCAGAAAAGACAAAAGTTAGGAGTTGTATCCGTATCTATTGTTCTCAGATGCCTCAATATGTGAGCCATACATTATCGACTGAGTGGCCATTTTGTCTTCTATGCTTTATATTATTAACCAGTTTAGATTTAGTTTAAAATATACTAATTAATGCAAAAAATAAATGTGTACGTTTTTATTTACTTAGCGATTTTAAATTCACTGGGGGAAAAAACATCTTTCTTTTATACTATCACGGTGTTCTTCTCTTCAAGAACTGCAAAAGTTATAAATCAAATAAACTCTTGAATCAAATAATTGACTTTACTAATTAAATTGCTTTTATATACGAAATACGCGTAGATATTACGTTAAAATACGTCATCGATATTTTGTGGGAAACAAAGTATTTAAAGAACTTTTTTTCCCTACCTATAGTAATATGAATAATAATAAAAATAATAATAATAAAGATAATATAATAATAAGGAATGTAGTTAATCAAAAGTTAACAATGTTGCTAACAGCTTTTTAAAATTGTTTTTGCGGTAAATGTAAAATTAATAAATATTATATTCTTTGCATTAAAATAAATATATAAAATATGATTTGGGTACAATGTTGCCTTATCATTAAAATATTCATAAAGTATTAAAGAGGGTTATTTTAAATTTTATTTCAATGTCCATGAAAAGTCATGATTCTTTAAAATATAATCTTCAATTTTATTTACCTAATTGACTCAAATTTCAATAAGGAAGATACATAAGTATCTTTAACTTTGAATCTAATTATACGAAGAAAGATTGTGCTTCTAATCAGGTATTTATGTTATAAACACTGCGAATGACATACAATAAATAAGTCTTAATTGCGAGGAAATATTATTAACGATTCTTATATTTTGGTATGTGCGTTCATGCAGTATGATTATCCCAAAACTTAATTATTTATTCCTAAATTTCGTTATTTTATTTTGAATTTCAAAGTTCGATGAGAAATACTGATGCAATAATTTGTTAATGCATATCGTTTAGCAATTTATTCAGTGCATTGATATTAAAAAAATTATTTTTTAAAATTTCCTATTTCAATTTCATTACAATTTTACAAAATAATTTCATAAAAATAACTTTAGTATTAAGTAAATAATGGATTATTGGTGGAGCCTATTATTCCAGTCCAGTACAGTCCATCAGTTACCAAATGAAAACCGGACCAAATGGAATAACTTTTGATCTAATGATCGGATCTCTACGTCCTAGGACTCATTCTTAATGGTTCGAGGGGGTGACCTCAAATATGCTAATTAATTAGTGCAGGCGATATATTAAGTTACGTAATCAGACACAAAACACATTTTCTCTGAATAAACATACCCTTGTTTCGACGTATTCGGATTACTGATCTCCAAAACATAGGGGGGTAGCCGCAATCTTGGAAATATAGCCCTCATAGTTTGGTCAAGAGAGCGGTCCAAAATTTACACCCCCTAATGTTAATTTTAATTTTTGCATATTTCCATACATCTCGAGAACTTTTTAAGAGAACTGAAAAATGTTAGCATGAAATTATGAAACTCGTTTATCCAAAGATAATTCCATGCAAAAAATAACTTTAAGTAAATATTTATTTATTTTGTATTACTTTATTTAATAACAGTCGAAAATATTTTGCGTTGTAAAGTATACAATTCTTTAGATCATTTCAAAGGATGTAATTTTGCATGGAAAAATGCAAAATGTGAGCTACATCTGTTGAATAGTTCTTAAGAAAATAAATTTTCAAAAGATTCATTTTGAAAAAATGAATCTTTTAATAATAATGAATAATTAATTAGTATATTTGAGGTCACCCCCTCGAACCATTCAGATTGAGTGCAAAAATTTTGAGATCCGATCATTAGATCAAAAGTAATTCAACGTGATCCGTTTTTCTTTTATTTTGGGCGCTGTACGTGGTAACTAAAACGAAAAACTGACATGCTAACACAACGGTTTATAAACCATCGATGCCGAAAATATCGCAATGAGCCTAAAGAATGCGTTTGTTAAACATTTGGTACCCTAAGTTAATGTGAGACTAAAAAAATTTTTACCTTCGGTTGTGAAAAAAGAAACTTAGTATCGTTTTTTTTTAATTGTGTGTAACCTTATTTTCAAATATATAAGTATTAATAAGTATGTGCTTATCCAGAATAAAAAGAAATGCGATATTAGAATATTTTGTTTCAGAGGAAGGTATTTCATACTAGTTTTCATAGACCTTAATAATTTTATAATGTTTAGAATTGTATGCTTATAATTTATATAAAATATTTCCATATTATAAAATATAATAAATTTTCATAATGTGTAAATCTTTTTTTCACAGAAAAAGCATTAGTTTAAAAAAAAATCATTGATGTATTTCAAAAATTATTTTACAATTTCCGTTAGTATTGCGGGGTTAGTTTTCACAAATCTATATAAAACTATTCCTTAAAGCACGAAACAAAGCAAGATTTAGAGAATAATATTACCTTTTCTAACTTTTTATGAACATTATTTACATTATACATACAGTCGAAACTTTTAAAATAAGGAGAGTAATTTTTGTTCGATTTTTTAATCAACTCAGAGAGAATTGAGTTAGCATTTAACTTACTTTTTCCGGATAATTTTTCTTTAAAAATCACAAAAAAGGTCGTATTCGTAAATTATAATCGAATGCAAAACGCATCCTATCCAAATTGTTGAGAAAGCAGTTTTCAAAAATGAACGGCTATTTTTAATACCCTGTTAAATTAAGAACCTTAAGATTGTTTGGATATCTTCCGTTTATAAATTACTTCAATTCATGAAACTCTCCAAATGCATTCAATGCTTTAAAAATAATTTTAAAGAACCTGAGGAATTATCTTATTTTAAATGCTATGCCACATCTATACAAAATGGAATATGATTTTTTTTTTTTTTTTTTTTTTTTAATTTTCAATAGTTGCCAGTCTCATTTGCATAAGGTANTAAATTACTTCAATTCATGAAACTCTCCAAATGCATTCAATGCTTTAAAAATAATTTTAAAGAACCTGAGGAATTATCTTATTTTAAATGCTATGCCACATCTATACAAAATGGAATATGATTTTTTTTTTAATTTTAATAGTTGCCAGTCTCATTTGCATAATGTAAGTATTAAAAAATAAATAAACTCTTTAATACTTTTAGCGAGTAACCGACAAAATTTATTCAATGCATTTTTAAAATCAAGCTTTTTCTCAAAGAAAAATGAATGTGGACCGTTATATTCTAATTTACTATAATAATTAAAAAATTATCTGAATTGAAATATTCGTTCAAAATATTTTTAGCTGCAATAAGTAAATCATAAATACGAGCACTAAAATAAAATGTGTTTTCGTTTTGTGAAAATATTTGTTTCATTTTCGTAATAAACAATTAAATATTGATCATGCTAATATTGTTGCTGTCCGTATTTCTATTTTCAGAAAGGAAATATAAAACACTTTTTATATTTCTTTATATGATAAAGATATATTCTAAAAATATATCTTTGTTATATATAAAGAATCGCTGGAAATATTTTTATGTGATAATTTTTACACAATAATATTGACACAAATTGTTTTTAATTTCTTTTAAATTAATAAAAAGTGCTCAAGCTCTAAAAAGTGTTTACTTAATAATGTTGCATTTTCTTATTTTTTTAATTCTGATCCAAATTAAGTTTTTTTGTTACATCAAGAAAAGAAGTTAATAGTTCGTTTAATTGTTGGCTCATCAGCAAGTCCCGACGATCTCGCCAACTTTGAGCCAGATAGCTTTTAATTTAACTGCCTTTAAATGAATGAAATGAACAATTAAAAACTCTCAGTGTCTCACAATTTAAATAATTACATATAAATCATATTACATTGTAAATGTTGTAAATACTACACTTAAATTCAAGAAGATACAATGGCTGATGGCCAGTCATTAAAATATTAAATTACTTATTATTTTAAAAAATATTAAATTATTACTTTATAACAAAATTTGAATGCAGTAAACAGTAAATTAAATTCAGTTTTCTTTAAAAATAATTTTAGATTTAATAACTTTTTGCTATTTTGCATACCGGTATTAAATTTTGGAGATTTTTAACCTTTTTTATAAAAAAAAGAGGAAGATTTTAAAGAAACATCAATTTTTAAACTAATTTTAAAAAATGTTTCATTACATTTAACATTTTTATACAAAATA